AAATTTTTCCTCAGCCAAGAAGTGATTTTTTAAAAATTTTTAATGATTAGGACAGAATGTATAGTTGTCACTAAAAGGAGGCATCTGACCATGTGAATTACAAATTAGAGATACCAAAATAGAAAAAGGCAATAATTTAAATTTAAATATCTAGGAAGTGTTTTAACAGAGGAAAGAATGTGTGACACTGAAATCCAAAGCAGATTGGGTTTGTGGAAGATGCCTTCCAAAAGTTAAAAAAAAGTATTAAGAAACAAGAAAATTTCATAACAAGTAAAGTAAAGAGTGAGGAGGCACAGCGAAGTAATGGATAGTGGCTTGGATCAGAGAGCTGAGCTCGAATTCCAGTCGAATCCATTACATTCACTTACACATTAATACCCTTGGAAAAGATATGAATCCTTTTCTTCTCCCCCACCCCCAGTTATGAGTAAATAGCAGGACAGACTGGGTATTATAGCCTTGAATGGCAACTGGGTTAGGAGAAGTTGAATTTAAAACCTGATCCTCCAGCTTGGGGATTGTGCAGTAGGCTAATAATCTACACATTTAAAAACTGGCTTGTTACAGAAACTCCAAAAATATCTTGCAGCCCTTTATTCCTTAAGGAATTTAAAGTCATAGTATAATAAAACAAAAGTAAAGAGTACTGAACTGTTATGCTATATGGTAGTGAATGCTGGCAGAAATGTAATTCTCTAGAAGAATTCTGAGAATACCATGAGTTGGACACATGTGCAACAAGTCTTAGAGAAAATGGAAATAAAAAGGGCACCTATATGTAACATCAGAAAGAGAAATTTCTAACGCACATAATGAGGAAAGGGGGCTTGGAGAATTTGATACTCACAGAACATATTGAAGGGATAGACGAAAGCAGCACATAACCTACCTAACAAGCTTGTGTAAATAGTTGGCAGAACAGAGATTAGGAGAGATAGCAAAAAGCCAAACTTTACTAAAGGCTAGAAAGGGCAAGAAGTTGTGGAGAGCCATGATCAACCACATCTTGAAGGAACATTGCTCATAGAAGAAGAAGTATCATTTATGCAGACAAAAAATTTATACTATAATTATTTGCAAACAAATAAGTAACAATACTCTGGAAATAGTCAAACTCTAACTTGGAAAACCAGTTTTCAGTTCCAGTTGGGTTTGTTATATTCACTTATGTGCAACTACCCCTGTGAACGCTATAAATTCATTTCTGCTACCCCCAGCTATAGGTTGATTAGTAAGACTTGTATCACTAAATCAGTTATGAGCTGAACAGTACGCCTAATTTGATGAGGAAAATATCATTTATTAAAATGTTATTTTTTTACTTTTATTCTCTCTCGCTCACTCACATATTATTATGCATAACAAGATACATAAACAATGATTAAGTATAATATGTCTTGAATTGTCTAACTTTCATTGAAGGTGAGGTTGTCAGCATTTTAAACCATTGGTGATTTTCACTAAGGAAGATCATACGTGTAAATATCTTTTTGCTTCAGAAACAGGAAACCACAATGATAATTATCATTAAGAGAATAAATATACTTCAATTTTTTTTTTTTTTTTTTTTACAAACATTTTTGTATAGTCAAATGTATGGATTAGAAGCAAATCACACGTAGCAGCATGTGTTAATCACTCTGTCATCAGTGATAATATTACACCAAGACTTCATTTTTTTTATTATATTTTTATTATTCTTTTCTCCAAAGGAAGAAATTGACTTTTTCCAATTTCTATGGGAGATGCCTATGCATATGGTCTTTTGTTGGAAAAATGGCAGCAGTATCTTTAATGAAAAATTACCTTTTTTAATAGTGCAGCTTGTCTACTGTACTTCATGCAGCTGACTGTTTGAAAAAGGTTCCTCATGCCTGCACTAAATCATTATTATCTCAAAAAAAAAAAAATTCTTACAATCTAAAAATATTTTCTGGCTTTAAATAATCTAAAAATGTTTTCTGCCTTTTTGATAATCCATAAAAAAATCAACCAAACTCGAACTACATTTAAAAACAGAAATTTATCTTTACTTGAATGCTTACTTATCTCTAATCAGCATAATTCTCCTATTAAATGGTTTTATGATATGCATCCATACAAAAGTACAGAAATGTTCATGACAGAAGAGAAAAAAAACAAATGAAAAATTTCTGTGTCACATTTTCAGTCCTCTGTTAAAACACTTTCCAGATATTTAAATTTCCACACTTGTTTGATTTTGTTATCTCCAATTTTTCAATTTACACTTTGGACTCATCCTTTTGTTAACAATACTTATAAAATAATCATGCATTTATTTTGTAAAAAGAATCTAGTTTTATATGAAAATATGTAATAAAAATATCTTTTGTTACAAAATTAAAATGTCCTTATTTCATGGTTATCATTATTTTTTGCAATAATTAGTAATCTTTCCTTATATTTTGTTTTCTTCTTTCAGCTTCTATAATAAACATATAATCATACAAAAATTGGTTAGTCATTATCTGGCTGAGTATGAATAATTTACCAATACTATTCTTATTATGTTGCAAATTGAATTGGAAATTTATCCATTTTTCAAGTTAGAGCTTCTTAATTGTATTGAATTTAACTCACAATGTTATAGTTTATAAATGACATTATTTAATAGCATCCACAGTAACATGTGCAATAATCAAGATGAAGACAGTAGTTTGAATTAATTCAAGTATATTAACAATTATTAAACCTCAGAAGGGAATATGAATGTACTGCCCTAATATTTTATTTTACCATTGAAATGGCTAGATGTAACCATAAGTTCTATGCTAACAGTTTCTTCTCTTGCACTTCTCAATTGTGGAACTCTCTTCTGATTCTGGCTTCCTTGTCAAATCAAATCTTCAATAATTTTAATGCAATGTCAATCATTATCTTCTGTTTTCTTAATTCCTGTTCTGGAGCCATAATAGTCTTCTTTTTTTCTCATATTCTCTCATACTCAGTAACCTCTTGCATCTTAGTGGTTTTATTGCCTTGCTTGGGGTAAAATTACTAAAAAAACTATATCATTGTTACAGCTTATTAATGGTATTGCCCTTCCCTGGCTATGTTAGCACTTGTTAATAGTATTTCTTTAACCTTGCTATTTTAGATCTTCATAACAGTATTGCTCTAATCTCACTATGTTAGCGCATCTTAACGGTATATCTTTAATCTCACTATGCTAGAATTTCTTAATGGTATTACTTTAATCACACTATGTTAGAGCTGCTTAACAATATTTTCCTGTTTCTTAATACTTTGCTTAGCTTTTGGAAAGCATCGTTCACTCTGCCAATGCACCTTTGGATTTCTGTGCTGCATTTTCTGTCCTCTGTTAAAATGTTTCCCAGATATCTAAATTGATGCTCTTGTTTGATTTTGGCATCTCCAGTTTGTAATTTGCATGTTGGGCTGTCCAATTTTGTTAACAACAATGTGTCCAGCACTGGACACAGAAGACCAAATTGTACATGAAAATTGGAAGGTATGCATTTTACCAAGGCGTAGTAGTATTTCAGACTATTTCAGTTTTATTCTTCTGGAGTGTCCTATACTCATGGCCTTGTGCCAAACTAAGCTACACTTAATAAATAAACAATAAATCATAAAACCAATATTCAAATGCACTGCACATAAAAGAACAAATTACATATGTATTTGTTATGATGATGGTATATAAATTATAAAATTTGTATACTTTGGTATATATATATATATATATATATATATATATATAATTAATGAAAGTGGAGAAGGAAATATTAAAAAAATTATTTTTTATAAATGGGTCATGACCCGTAGATTAGCAGCTCGATATAAACTAGAGCGGATGTTAATGGATATATAAATTATACAACTATGCAGTGCCATTTCCTAAGAAATAAAAATGGGGTGGAGAGGTAATTTAACAAAATGCTTAATAAATTAAATGCTTTGTGAGTTTCCTACATAAAAATTTTATAATTGATAAATAAATAGCTTCTTTAAGAAACTAGTAAATAATTTAAATGTATAGAATTATAGCTGCCAATCTATGGCTCATGACCCATTTATAAAAAATAATTTTTTAATTTTTGTTTCTTTGTTTAGTTTAAATTTAATGGAGGTCATATTTGATTGGTTGATCAGAGTAAAGCCCACAAACCTTATAACCCCCACTTTTTTTCGCAAAAAGAGGTTGTATTTTGCTTTTAAATCTAAATAAATCATTCACTCACCAATAATTTACAATCGCCTCTACTTTGTATTGAGCCCTCTTTTAAATGTTATGAATGTTGGAATCTTATTTTATTCATTTTCATCTTACATGGAGATATATATATATATATATATATATATATATATATATATATATATTGGAAAACTTATAGCTGACATGTTTCCTCCTCTCATAGACTTTATCAAAGCAAATCAGTACAATAGTTTCTCCTTTTGTCTTTATTGATATATATATATATATATATATATATATATATATATATATATATATATATATATATATATATATGAAGAAATATAGTTTAAAAGATAAAACTATGTAATGTAACTCGTCTGAACATCTAAATATAGTAATATATATTTTTTAGAGAGTTTAATTGCTTTTTTTCTTATTCAATCCTCAGTAGAGTTTTTAGTGACTCTTTTTTTTTTCTTTTTTTTTTTTACACAAATATATTTCTTTTTTTTAGTATATATAAACTGAGAAATGGTACTAATATATATACACATAGATAATTATATCTACCTCTGTATTCATTTAGTTAGTCTTGTTGAAAATCTTCATATGCTGAAGCTAATAAGAAAATATAGGAAAACATCATTGGGAAGTAAAGGAAAGGATAAAAAAGAAAGAAAATAAAAGTAAAGAAAAATTAAACACACTGTATCTAGATAAGTAAAGAAATTCCCCCAACCCTCCTTTTCTGCATGTCACATGTCTTGTTCAACTTGACACGTCCTTCTATCTTGTTAATAAGTCACTTAGCCAACTAATATAATCTCTGAGCATGGCATGCCCGAAGACATGAAAGAAAACAATTACATTTAGCAATATCTGCACTCACCTGATAATCGTCATCTACAGTTTTCTGTCCATTACTCAGCTCTCCCCTAGGGTAGAGTCCTCTCCTTGATCTTCTTGACAGACTTCTTGAGGATTCTGAGAGGCCGACGGGGATGTCGGAGGCCCAGTCAGAGGAGGAATGCTGTGAAGAACATGTGAATTTTCCATGTTCGACGACACATTTACAAGGTGGATTCGCTTCATCATTGTCAGAAGCATTTCTCCGATCCTTACATCGAATAATACATATTGACATGGCAGCTGTGATGGATACAGACACTGTCACAGCCACTACAACAATGACAATCAATAAAAAGAGATGTACACTCTCACCAGTTTTTGTGTGTTTAGCATTCAATATTTTCAGTGTTTTGTTGCTCACAGTCAGTTTCAAAATCATATCGACATTTGCTGATAGAACCGGTGTGCCACTATCCTTAACGACAAACTCCAAGTCATATGACCCAGTATCTTGCTGGGTTACAACACGGCTAAAAGACAAGAGGCCTGTGTAATGATTTAGGCTAAAGAGCTGCTTGTCATTTCCTCTTACTATTTCATATTTTAGAAATGCATTTTCTTGACTGTCACTGTCCATTGCTTTCAAAACTGTAATATTGTTTGTGTGGTGTGGATAGTACACAACATCCAGAGTGAAAGGACTCACACTTGGAAATGTGAAATATGGAGAGTTGTCATTTTCATCCCTAACTTCAACGGTTACATTCACGGTGTTATTTAATGATGGAATTCCACCATCTTTTACAAGAACTTGAAATTCATAGACACCTTGAAACTCATGATCCAAAGACATCACAGTTGAAATTAATCCATTGTCCGAAATTTGGAAAGGTAGAAAATGTTTAATATCAGTCAACAAGAAATAGGTCAGCTTTCGTCCAGGCCCAAGATCCGGATCAGTAGCATTAATAGAACCAACAGGAAAATTAGACTTCTGATTTTCAAAGATCCAGAATTTAAATGACTTTTTGGAAAATTGTGGCTTCACATCATTGACATCAATCACTTGGATCGAGAATTTACTTTCACTCCGTAAAGGAGGGGACCCTTTGTCCTGGCAACTGATGGTGATCTCATGATGGTCTTCTGTTTCCCGGTCCAATTTCCTCTTCACCGTTATTTTATACTCTTTCGTGCCAAGTCTCTGAAGTTGAAATTTGTCATGATAAAGGTTGCAACTGACCTCTCCGTTCTGGCCAACATCAAAGTCAGTGACCATTATATAGGCAATGAAGCTGCCAACTTCAACATCTTCAGAAATGGCATCTTTATTCTCTGTAGAATCAGAGAAGAAGTTCACATTTATACTTGGAGCATTATTGTGGTGATTGATCACGTTTACAAAGAGAATGGTGATAGAGCTTAGTGGCGGGCTTCCTCCATCTGTAGCTTCAACATATAATTTATAAGTCAGCTTTTGTCCTGAGGTAAATTTTTTATGTAAGAAAATCTCTCCACTGTCTTCATTTAATTCAAAGTACTTTTTATCTTTCTCTGAAGTCATAGAACTGAAGTGATGTGAAATTTGTCCGTTTTTGCCTAAATCCAAATCTGTTGCAGAGAGTATGGCTACAGGTGTGGCCACATCATGTTCGTATTTAATGGAAATATTATAGACATTCTGGGAGAAAACTGGTGGATTGTCATTGACATCTGTGACAGAAATATGCACATTTAACACACTTTGCTTTGGTGGCGATCCATTGTCTCTAGCAATCACTTGAATATTGTAAGAGTCTTTCACCTCTCGGTCAAGTCTTTCTTCCAATGTTATACTGAGTTTTGAGATACCATCCACACTCTTTGCTGTTGAGAGAGTAAATGGTTCGTCAACATTCTTTTCTAACTGATATGTAATTTGCGAATTAAGGATGCCAACATCTCTGTCTATTGCATTCGGGATGGAGATTTTTGTCCCCTTGGCATCATTCTCTGAGAACTCTATATTCACTTGTTTATCAGGAAATTCTGGTTGATGGTCATTAATGTCTTTGACAACCACTTTAACATTCAGGATTTTCATAAAAGTTTTTGCTTTCCGTGCGGCAATCTTGATTGTCTTAAAACACTCTTTGTTACGTACACACAGGGATTCGGCATCCAATATCTGGGCAGTGTACAGTTTTCCTGTCTCCTTGGAAATGTGAAACAGCTGGACATTCTGTCCCAGTTGACTGAACCTGATTTGGCTGCGATCTTGGACTTGGACACCATCCAGTAGGTGTGCATCAGCAGCTATGTTACCAACAAGGGTACCTGGACTTTTACCTTCCTCCACATAGTAGGTAAGATCTGCACACTGGCCAAAATGGAGGACATACAACAAGAGCAGCAGCAGTGAACTATTCACCGGTAAGAAGAGACTCAGCCGGGTCATTTTCTTTTTTTAGCAAGCAAATGTACAATCCATTCAAAATGAAAATAAATTCACCATTGCATCTGCAATTATAAAGATGAAAAGAAAAAAGGTAAAATTTTAATTTTATTGCATATAGCATCATTTATATTTATACTAGGGAAGTTTTTTTTTTTAATCATTTCACCCCAAGCAAACAACAAAGCCATTAAGGTGTTGGGGTTTATGGAGTGTGAAGAAAAGAAAAACATTATTAAGGAACAAAAAAAATAAAAGAACAAAAATTTTATTCTTTTATTTTTGTTTTGACATTTGGATAACAAGAAGATATATTTTAATGTTAAATATGACTTTTGCTACATTTTATAGAACTGTGAATATTAAATAGATATAGCCTTTTTTTTTATTTCTAAAAGTTTATTTATAAACTAATGAAAGTTTTTTTGTTAAGGACATTTTATTTTTCATTTTTTAATATTTTGAACAATTTTCTTGGTTTCTAGTTAAAGTTTAAATGTAAATTGTCTAATGACTAAAACAAAAAAAAGATAAACCAAACTATCACCTTAAAGTCATGTGAAGATTGGATTTTTTTTTATTATTTAACCCCATCTAAGGCAACAAAGCCACTAAGATGCAACGAATTAGTCAGTGTGAATGAATATAAGAAAAAACATTAAGAAGCGAGAGCAGTAAAAGAACAAAAATTGTGTTATTTTATTTATGTTTCGACAAATGGATAACAAGAAGAAATATTTAATGCTAAAGATGATTTTTGGTAGATTCTACAAAACTGTATATTAAATAGGTATACCCTCCTCTGTATATTTTTAAAGTTTTTTTAAAGACTAATTGAAGTTCTTAGTTTAAGATGGTTGTTTTATTTTGTTTTTGTTTTTTTGACATTTTGAATCATTTCCTTGGTTTTAGGTGAAAGTTTAAATATAAAAACACTAGATGACCAGAGATCGGTAGCTGATCTCTCCTCTGACCTAGATCTAACAAATCAGTGGGGGAAAACTGAATGGTTACATTAATGCCCCCAAAACCAAAGTTAGATTCCATCATTGCCAATAGGACCTTGAACTAACACCAATCATGATGAATGGATGTTCCTTTAGGGAGGCCGTATGCCTAGTGGGTCTAATATCTAAACTCATCCCAGACCTCAAGTTGAGCTCGTATATATCCCCCATTGCTAAAGATGCTGTAAAAATTGATTGGTTCCTTGTACCATTTCAGTAAGCACTTGACTCCTCAATGCTATCCCTTAATTTTACAAGAACCAGATCAGGCCTAAAATGGAGTACTGCTGCCAGACTTACCTTTGACCTCTCAATAGAGTCCAAAAGTGTCTATGCATCCTTGTAGGTGATGAATTATTTTCCACCTTGCAATCCCTTTCTTCCAGATGAAATATTACAAGCCTCTCACTGTTCTATCATTATTTCCATGGAAATTGCATATATGAACTACATTCCTTAGTTCTACTAGTTCTAATCTTCAATGCTAAAACCCATCATACAATGCATGTTGTAGTGAACCATACTCATTCCCTTCAAATTCCTTTGTGATATATAAGCCCCATTTGAACAGCTTCTTTTTGTGAAGTGTAGCTCTGTGGAACCAGCTCCCAAGAGAGTGTTTTCCTGATCACTACAATCTTAACCTGTTCAAGTCTTTGATTAACCATTATCTTCCCCACAGACCTCCATAAGCTGTGCCGCTTACTCTGTAACCTTCTACCTCAAGTGGCTCTTGGTCTTTGTGCAAGGTGAACATCATTATAAAAAAATATATATATACGCTATATATAAACAATAATTTTTCATTTATACAAGTTTGGTTAAGACCAACGAAAGTTTTGTTGAGGAGGACTTTTTGTTTATTTTTTTATATATCAAAAAGTAAAAAAAAATAAAAAAGTAAGAAATATATCCAGAAACTAAAATATAAAGAGGGTAAATCTAGTTAAATTGAATTTTATGATATATCAACCTCTGTTGGGTTATAAAGAGAAGAAATGTCTTAAATATATGCATATGTACCCAATGTATAGCAATGAACAAAATCAAAGAAGCATGCAATAATGAATCAAGGAAGGTGATAATGTCATGAGAATGCAGGAGTTTACAGGGAGTGAAAGAGAATGAGAAGATTTTAATGAGGAGAAATGACAAAAGGACAAAAAAAAGAACCAAGTTTAAGACGGAAGAAGTGCAAGAAAAGAAACAGAGTAGAAGTGGTGGTTGCATCTAGCTAGTTCAACAGTAAAACAGTGAGACATAATTGCCAGTCTAGTAGCATGCTTAAATTTATGTAGTCTGGGCAGCAGGAAAAAAGCCCATCAGAACAGTTGCCATGAAAATATTTATAGTAAAGACAGAGGGAATCCACATTACATCAGTGAGAAAATGGCTGATGTCAAGATGACTGGTCATGATTGATTATATTACAGACTTCTTTGAATTTTGTTAAGAATCTTGAGATGTGCACCAGGTGTGGATATGGCAACAGTATTCAATGCACAGACAAATGGTAGACTTATAAATGTGCAAGATGGACTCTGACAAAATAAATTTTCTAGCCTAATACAGCAAACCAACTTTCCTTGCAGTTGACCTAACAATCAATTCAATATAGTTGCTCCTCTTACTGTCAGTTGAAAATGTAAGGCCAAGAAGCCATAGAGAATTGCTCCCCTGAAGTTTAGCACTAGCCATGATGATGGCAGGAAGGCAGAAAAGGTTCTCTGTAGTGATTATGTATGTATAAAAGTTTAAAACTATGTCTACTCAAACAAGTGTACCCACTAAAATATAAAAATATAGAAATAAGTGAATAATGTTAGATAAAAAAAAAAATTACTTGTGTGTTTGTATTTCAGGTTCGAAATAAAGCTAGCAGATTAGCC